GCCAAATAAAGTGCTTTTGCTTTCGTCTAGAAACATACAGCGTCTCCCTGACATGGCTGCTTCAACACTAACTGCGGTTACTGAAACCACGCCTTCTTTCTTTGCGTGCACATTTGGGCGGCATTATGCAAATATTTCCACATAGTGAGGTAGATATGTGGGGGCGTGTTAGAATGAGCCGTTTTAGGGGGGCGTGGCAGAGTCTTAACTTTGATAATATCTCTTTGGTTTTGAGACTTTAGTCTTTGCAACTTCAGGGATCTTATCTACACACAATCAGCTTGTAACACTCCAAAGAGAAAGGAAAACTTGAAATCGCATCATATGACCCCTTTAAGAGAAGTCAGACTGAAAGCGCACGCTGCAGTGACCAAGCCTCTCATCAGCAGAAATAATCAAAAGGCTAGGCTCACCTTTGCGGAGGAGCATGTTATGTGGAGAGAGGAGAATTGGTCCAAAGTTCACTTTAGTGATGAGAGCAAGTTTAATTTGGGTCCAAAGGGAAACATTTTGTTTGGCATCAAACGGAGGAAAGACTGAAGCCAGAGTGTGTAAAGAAGTCCGTGAAAGGTGGAGGAGGAAGCGTCATGGTTTGAGGGATGTTTTCTGGAGCAGGAGTTGGGCCGGTCACGGTTTGCAAACAGAACCCAAATGCAGAACAGCCAGGGGAGCTTAAACAAAGGATCTTTATTAACAAAAATAAGGAGTAACACAAAACTGGACTAAAAACAAACAGATAACCACAAACATGGCTTGAAACAAAAGACCCATGGTAGGGTAAACAAAACAAAACAGGCAGAGCAGAGCGAATAAGCAGGAAGATATGACTTGACTAGACTGACCAGTAACCAAGGAAACAGTGAACGACAATGAACCAGCACAGGACAGAAAACACAAGGGGAATAAATGGGGAGCAGACAAGGAGGGTAACGAGGCAGACACAGGTGGCGCAACTGAGCAACTGAACCAGTAACCAGATAACAAGAAGGGTGGGGTCAAGACAATTGACAGGAGAGCACATGGCATAAACAAACACACAACAAGCCATGTGCTCAAACAAGGACACAGGAGACCTCTGGTCGCCATCTGGGGCACACCAGCTGATGACAGTGACAGGGCCTCTTATACAGTTACATGGCAGGGTGAATGCAAATGTTTATCAGAACCTCCTTCAGCAACATGCGGTACCTTCCCTGCAAGCATCTCCCAATTAGCCTGCAATTTTCATGGAAGACAATGTCCCCGTCACACTGCAAAATGGGTAAAGCAGTTCCTTAAAGCTAAGAGCACTGAAATAATGAAATGGCCTGCCCAGAGTCCTGATCTAAGCTCCACTGAAAATCTCTGGAAAAATCCTTGGCAACAAAGTTATGGAAACCCACTACAGTCACCGAACTATGGAAGAGAGTTGAAGAAGAGTGGACCAAGTTCACACCAGCGCATAACTAATATCACTACATATTTTGAGCTGTGAAGATTAACAATATTTCAGAAAAAATAAAGTATTTATAGATTGTTCTCTAATTTTGATCTCCACTGTATGTAAATACATTACTGACCAAAAAAAAAACACCTATTGTGCCATCTAAAGAGAAATTCTAACCCAACTTCCAAAAGGGGGCATACATGTTCAGTTTGATAGGCACTGTAAACAGCACCGGGAATAAGGTATGGTTGTAACTATCATGGACTTCATCCATCATAGAAGGGGACACAAAATGTCCAAAAAGTTAAAAATTTTAAGGGTGGTCTGCCTTATCGGTCTAACAGCACTCAATGTTTGAGATGGGCAATAATTTATCAAAAAAATAATACATTTATTTGTTTGATTTATATAATGCTATTTTTTAATTGTCAATGTGAGAAAACTAGAAACAGCTTGTTTTAGCATATTATTCACTTATTATTTACTTAGGCCTAAGCATATTGAATCAATTTAATAAACATTACCTTTTTTTCAGTTACTTTTAATTTTAATTCTATTCAGTAAATTCACTTGTCTAAGGAAAAGATTCATAAAACTCGAAGTGGGACAGTTATCATTCTCAGGCTTAATCTAGAACATGGTAAAACATGTTGTTTTGTGGTTGGGACGTTAATTTATTAACATAAAATATTATATGCATTATTTTGGAGTAAATAGCTCTTTAACTAATTTTTTTTATATTTATTTCTTTAATTATCGCCTAATATAATAAGATATATAATATATATCTTATATAATATATATCCTTATTTAATATAAACTAGAATAAACACTAAGATAGGCTCTGGAGTTTTTATTGAGTTTAATTAGTCCCAGGTTCGGTTTGTACGTGGTTGTTAAAGAGAGCAAGATGCAACAGTTTAGGGCTTGACAGACTGACAAATTATATTATTTTTTTAATAAATAGCCTACTCTAGCTTGAAAAGGTGTGGGGGTAATTTCAGATGACCTATCAGATGTATTTAATTAAAAAAAAAACGTTATAATCTATAATAACATTAAACTTATTTAATATTTTCTCTAAACCTTCTTGGATATCAAGACAGGCACCCTGCAATTCTGGCCAAATTAAAGATACGTTGTGTGTGAATTTGTACATGTTATAATGTAAGCATCATTAATGATCCCTTGTGTTTAATAAAATATTGATTAGTGAAATTAAAGGGGTCATATGATGCGATATGTGTTTTTTGAACATTGAAGCATCTCAACATATTCTGTTACACCAAATTCACAAAATAATGATCTTTAAAATAGCATCATATGACCCCTTTAAATAATGATTTCATAACAAATGAGAATGATTAGTAATTGTCTCTAATTGGCCTGATTAGCTAAGCCTGCAAAACACTTCTTATTTAGTGGTACAGTATTGCATTATTTGTAGATTATATTTAATAGTTTACACTTTGCATAAATTTGCAATTAAATTAATCACTAATTTGCAATTAGTTTTTAAAAGGTAACGTTACATTATTCGGTACTCTACACTTAAAGATTTCCTTTTACTTAAAAAAAATTTTAGGAACACTTTCTGATCAATGAGAGAAATTAACCTTCCCATTATGAGGCAATATTTGACTCTTTAAAGTGTTAAGTTTACCTTTCTAATGCCATTTTTTTCTAACTTTATTAAATGTATGTCATCTTTTGTGTAAAAAAATATATAACTTATAACTTATTTTAAACAATAAATTCAATTAAAATAATCAAATACAATCAGGAAGAATAAGTTACCAGTCAAATTAAATCAGCATCAACAATTTATCTTTTCACTAGGTGGCACAGAAGAACACAAATTAAGGAATATTTACAGACTGTTAAACGAGACTCAGAGGTGAATGTATGTAAATTCATAATAACAATGTTATGAGATTAATGTTTTAAAAATAAAGTTTTGAATATAGAAATATTAAAGGATTTAAATAGCTCAATTTATACTTTTAAAATGAAACTGAAACCGCCAGTAGGTGGCGGTAAGTCACTGTCTTTGTCACTGAATCATTCATGACACCCATATCTGGTACTTAAGTAAAAAGACGGGTTTTATGCCTAGGGTTATCGCCGTTGTAGATCAACTATAAAGGTGCAAAATGCATTTACTTACACATATTTGAGAATCGAGATTCATGATATAGCCTAGTTAACACGTTTGGGAATATTTCAAATAAAAAGGAAAAAATTAATAAAACATATAAGCCTTAAAACATAACCCAGTTATACAGCGCTATCGTGGCTGCTGTGTGTCACATGACAAGCATGACGAGCCACCCCAGTTAACAGTTTCTGGTTTCGGCCCAGTGTGTTCATTCGGTTTTGGTTTCGGTTTCAATATATCAATAATATTTCAATAGTATCTGCATATTTCAGTCTGATTTAAATATGTCAAATCGTAATTATTACCTCGATAATGATTGTGTTGTCCTCTTGAAACGTATGCAAAAAAGTTCTTGCACATGGCCTGTCTGAATTAAAGACCACAAACGGCAGTACACTATTACACTAAGCGCTTCTGCGCCCGTCAGGCTATATTAGCCTATTCTAAACATAAAGACGATGAACGATGTAATTGCTGTTTGAATTCTTAATATACCTTGCTATATTTAAATTTATTGCATTTACTACATTTATTGTCCTTGATTCTTATTAAGTTTTTCTTGAAAATCGAATAACTGCTCTTTAATGCTGCGTATTACTAATATTAACTATATGGCCCCGTGTTATTGTCATTTTGCATTATTGACACTATTTTCCTAATTAATGCTGTTCAGTTGCTTTGACACAATCTGTATTGTTAAAAGCGCTATATAAATAAAGGTGACTTGACTTGACTTTACTGATGTTGTGAAGCGACGGCAGCGATGTGATTGTGAAGGATGCTGTTGCTGTAAGGCGTGTCTACGCCACTGATATGCCAACAAATGACCCTGAAAATGGGCAGGGTTCTGCGGCACGGAGGATGCTGAAGGATGCTGTTGTGATAGGGATGCAGGTACTGTAGAGCCCGTAGAGCCACATGAACCAGCGTCAGAAAATGGGCAGGGCTCTACGGCATCTCTACTTAAACCGAAACCGAAAATTCGGGAAACACACGAAAACCTGAAAACTGAAAACTAAAACTGATTTTTTTTTTTAAGTAGACCTATTACACATCCTTTGTTAATAAGGAGGTCTATACACATTCTAAATACAATTCTAAAACGTTGTAAGCAGTTACATTTGTTGTACACTCAAAAAAAAAAAATAGACCTCTTTTGTTAATAGCTACACCTTTTCTAAATATTGTAAAATGTTATAAAAAGTTATTATTTGTTTTGTTTTTTTTCCGGTGGCAATACTACCTAGGCTACATAGCCTATATTGCACTTCAGGCATTTTATCAAGCACAACAAATGACAAATGTTCCCTTTCAAGAATTCTCGGTTTCGTACACGTTTACTGAGATTTTTACTTTAACCATATAAACACTCTGTATCATTTATTCTTCTTTAAAATGGAAAACCATAATTATTACCTCGATGATGACAGTGTTGTCCTTTGGAAATGTAGCCGTGTCCTTGTTGCATGAGCTGGTCTCTGTCTGAATTATAGGTCGAAAGCGGCAGAACACTTTAATATTATACTTAGCTGATGCGTCCGTCATGATAATAGGCTATACAATAATATATTTTAATATACAAACAGAATATCTGAAATCTTTAGAAGAAATATAATCTGATGCTAATAATTTTATCCTTGATTCTTATTATTTTTTTTTTGTTGTTGTTTTTTTTTATTGAATAGCTGATCTTGCTGAAGTTGTGAAGCGACGGTCAGAGTGATGTGATCTGAAGGATGCTGTTGCTGTGATAGATAGAGATGCAGGTATACTGTAGAACGTGTCTGTGCCACTGAATTCAGCCAGCGTCTGAAATAGATAGGGCTCTGCGGCATCTCTTTTATGACATTCTTAAACTGAAACCGAAAATTCTGGAAACTCACGGACTGAAAACCCTATGGGCATTAGCCTACGGCACAGTGATCATCTGGATAATGTGCTCAACCCGAAACCGAAAATTCTGGAAACACTCGGACTGAAAACCCTATGGGCATTACGGCACAGTCATCATCTGGGTAATGTGCTCAAGCCGAAACCGAAAATTCAGGAAACACATGGGCGAGAACCGATATATTTTTATTATTACTTTTTTTTTAGTTTAGTTTTTTTTTTCTTTGTTCTGTTTTTTATACCTCTTTTAAATATCTTCTAAATATAACACTTTGTGAGTGATTGTTCCAGTGGCATTACTACCATGTATAGCCTAGCCTATGCACTTCATGCTAATAAGTACATCTTCACCCTACAAAGTGTTTATAATGCAAAAGTACGGTACTTTATAACAACAACCATGTACTAAATGTAATACAGCGACATTTACAGTATGCATGCTTTTGTGTGATCCTCACATTCTCAGCGATCAAGACCATACTTAATGTAGGATTGATGTGCACTACAGCTTAAAATATGTGCATTTCTGCCTGTATTCGAATTATAATCACAAAGCGTTTATTAATCATTCAGATAGGGTATAATTGTGCGTTAAAACAGTTTAAAACAGTGCGTTTTTTCCGCGTGATGGTGGGAGGCCCCATAGAATAAGGCAGTTGTTCTAAATGTAGATTGTGACGTTATAAAGCTATATAAAGGTGAAACATTCTGCAACGCTCGTTTTGCTCATTCTGCTGCTAAATCACGTTAGCGATGGGTCAACGTAGTTCTCGTTGCAAAGAGGCAGGAAAAAAATGTGGGCGTGTGTACAATTTCCATCATGGTACAGCGCCACAATCTTTCACTGGTTTGGTGGAAGGCCACCCACATCCAGTTTGTGATGTGGGTGAGAAAAAGAAGAAAGGGAGGACACCTCTAAAAAGACAAAGAGGTTCAGGTTGTGGAGGTGGACCTCTTATTGGAGAGCTGGTCAAAAATACAGCAGGAAGACTAGCTCAGCTCAGGGTGAGGATGAGGCTCGGGTACTGAAGCTGCGGCAGTACCATCTAGAAGCAGTCCTGATGGTAAACGACATGTTTTATGAATATGTACAAGTATCCAACAAGTTAAATAATAATTAACATCTTAGATGCAGTAATATGAGTATCCACTATGTAATATATATATATATATATATATATATATATAATTTATTTATTAATTATTATTAACACTGTGTTTTGGTGTATATCATTACCTTCATTACAGCAGTTCATCTGCACTGTAGAGAACCACAATCATCAGGAAACTTCAACCAGTGACCCTGAAGTCTGTCCTGTAGTAGAGGAACATCTTGCTGTTCATCCTGATGCAGATGTCCTCCAATCTCCAGTAATCTTCAGTTAGTTCCACAGAGGTCTCTGCATCACCTCTGACAAAGCAGCTGGAGAATAATGGAAAGATGAAAACTGAGGGTAAATGTACTACCGCAATAACACAACACACGCACTCTCTTGATACTACATCAAGCCATTTTAATATCACTGGTTTATTCGTTAAACAAGAATTTGACTACACTGCAGTCAATGCTTGATATTTTAAGTAACCTTGTTTTTCCTTTAATAGTCATCAATTCCTGCTATTATGTGATCGGCAACATGCTGGGACAAGGGACGTTTGGAGCCATGTATGAGGGGAGTCGTCTGCAGGACGGCTTTAAAGGTCCCATATTGTCAAAACTGAAATTTCCTGGCTTTTTTTCACGATTACTGAGGTCTAGGGGCTATTTAACTGCCATATAAGTTTCAAAACAGTCAGTCCACAGCATTAGTTTATTAACAAATAATTCAAATATCCCCTCACTATTTTTTACTTTTTTTGTTTGTTTGTTTTTTGGGCTGATGTGCCAAAATTGTTGTTTGCATTCAGTAGCCTATATGGCAGCATTTTTGTTGTGCAAATTTTTTGCATATGGGCCCGGGGCTGACTTGCTACGCCGCTGAATAAGACTGATGTACCCGTGTTGTAACACAAATAAATGTAAGGTTTTTGGATTTTCCCCTTACTTTAAATGCATGCTTATGGCTCATTATTATTAATCGAAAAAAACAACAACAACAAAAAAAAAAATTAAACTTTGAACTTTTATTAACAAAATGAATAAGGACATGTTTTACTCGCGTTTAACACATATAAATAGCCTATGGATTTCCCCTTAGGCTACATTAAAACGATCGCGTCTGAAGAAAATATGTGTATGTAAGAGAAGAATGTATGTATGTGTGAGAGAGAGTATAGTGAAAACGGAAGGAGTATAGTGGAAACGGAAGGCAGGTCAGGCCATTACTGCGGGAAGTAGGGGTGCTGAGGGTGCTGCAGCACCCCCTGGAGTGTAGCCCACGAAAAAATGTGGGGGCTGGGGG